AAAAARGGTACATGAAAGGAAAGGCAAAAATCATCAAGCATCAYTCGGATCCTGTCTGCTCCCCTTCCCCTTCACCCTCCCCTCTTCCTCCCCTCCTCTCTGTCCCAACTCAACGAGCGAGGTCATTTTCCCCTGGTGTAAATCCCAGCGAAAACAAGTTAATAATGGGAAGCAAAGTGGCCCCTTTTTCAGTCCCTACACCTGTCTCCCACTTAATTAGCTTATCTGCCAGCAGCATATTGCTTCTGTGAGCCTGTCTCCTGCCCTTATCAGGCCTCTGCTCAGGCTAAGGCAAGAAGACAAGTAGCTGAGTGGGGTGAAAAAAGCCTATTATAAAAGCAGCTCTTTAGAGAGTCACCTCCTTATATCCTTTCCTTTCAGCTGAGAGCGGGGATCTGATACTGAAGGCACTGAAATTACCTTCTAGGGACCTTCAAAACTTTCCCATGTGCTCGTCCTTGAACTGGGGGAAGRCTCAGGGGGATTGGGGGTTATTTGTTATGCCTTGAATTGCCAGGCAGAGGTGGTTATTGTGTCCAAATGAGGCAGTGAGGTGGGAGGATGTTTAGCAGCTGCAGTGGGAGTGGGGGAGAGGTGGAGAGCCCAGGTTTTTCCAGAAAGGCTGGCTCTGAATTCGGTGCCTTGGCAATTGTGATTCTTGAGGCTCAGTGTGGGTCCCCAAATGGAAATTGGATCCCCACAGCAGTCACTGGCAGGTCTCAAAGACTGAAAATACTTTTATTTCACTACATAAACCCCTCCAGGAGGAATGAGAGAGATCAGGGGGTGCCCCAAATTCTTCCACTCAAGTTCTTTCACACCAATGGGCTGCCTCTCTAACAAAGAAAATAGCCCAGCTCCTATTAGGCAGTGACCTCCTTCCAGGAGCAAAAAAAAAAAAAAACAAAAACAAAAAAAGCCTTTAATTTTTTATCTGGGAAGTTTCACCCCAACTAAACCTCACCAAGGAGAAATGCTTTAAAGCAGCTGTTTTTCCTGGCGTGCTGTTCCTCTTACCTTGAGGAACTTGTAGAGGAGGAAGGTGAACCAGTTGGTGAGCATTTTCTCAGCCACAGACTCTGTCCTAAAATCGGCCAGGGAGAAGAAAGCAAATTAAAAATGAGTTAGTCATGATGAACTATGACCAGTCAAAATACTGTCCTTGTCCATCTTACTGYTCTTACTGGAATTCTGGTGTGGCACCATCACAATTTAGCCTGTTTTAGTTTTGGATTTCAGAAGCCTGCAGGAAAATCCCTGCTGCCCTGTCAATTCTCCTGTGACTACAAGTCCCTGTACAGCTATTTTTCAGTTTCTCCAACAACGAGAAGGAGTTGACAACATTYGAGAGAATCTTCTTCAAAGAGCTCGGGGAGGATAAATCCATCAAATCTGAGGAGCTCAGAGCCAGGCCATATGTCAAGTAGGCTGTATAAATACTCAGGAGAGACAGATCTCAGTCCCTGGGGAGCAGTTATCTGGCACTGCCTATCTCCCTGGCATTTGGGAGTGATTATGCTCCTCAATGTGTCAATGTGGCACGAATTCACAGAGCTTCTGCCCTTGAGCACTCTGTTCTCAATCAAACAAAAATCCATCTCGAGAATCCAGGGTGATCTTTTCCTGCACAAGGACCTGTAAAAGTGGTGTGGACACACTGTGTTGGTTCCAGTACAAATGCTGGTGGTCAAGAAAAAAGAAGACCCTTGGCTGGGTGAGTTAAAGTGGGTCCTCCTTGTCCTGGCTTTCACCAAAGCCACACAGAGGTTCTTGTTTCTTGCTGTTGTTCTTTGCCCTGAAAATCTCTTTGAGGCCATAGATGTCATGTGGGATGAGCACTGGACACATGAGAGGTGGGAAAATCTTTTTTTTTTCCAGCTCCTTTCTTCTGTCAAACACCTCCAAAACTGAAAAAAAAAAATCATTTTCATGGCTTGTGGGGAGGGAAGGGAARCATCAGGCTGAAYCCAGCTGCTCCAAAGAGCTGAGGAYCTCACACCAACATCCARCCCAAGGYTGAGCTATTCATTGTTCTGTTCTTGTGCTGTTCAGAGCTTCCTTCTCTGACTTCTCCTGATATTTCCAGGGTTTGGAACAGTGGATGTGCCTTTTGGAACACAAGGATGTGCCTTTCTTGCTCACTGGCTCTCCTTCCAAAGGCCACAATTAATTTTCACCAAAGAGGACTAGAGTTAGAAAAGAGATGGCAGAAGGAGGAAGAGGGAAGTTGGGATTGCTCAGGAGGAGATAGGAGTGAGAAACWAGATAAAGAGATGGAGGAAAGGGAAGGAAAAGGAGGAAATGAAGGGGGGAGGCAGCTGGAAGGAGGCAGTGCCATCCAGCATCAGAGGAGAAGCACGGACAGGAAGCCTGGGGACAGCTGGAGGGTGGTCACCAGCCAGGCTGTAGGGCTTCAATCACATMAGGAARTCAACTGACACCAAAGCAAAGTCCAGCTTCTGCCCCTGGCATGGCTGCCCTGAATGCCAGGAAGTGCCTTCTGCTTCTTTTTTGCCGTTTCTCCATCGTGGGCTGTGTGCCAGATGAAAAACCTCCCAGCCCAGCAGGCACCAGGGATCTGATCCCTGTCCAAGCCGTCTGTCAGAATCAACCATGGGCTCCTCAGAGTCAGCTCTGAGCAGTGGCAAAGGCCACCCATYTCCAGAAGACTCCCTCTGATTTTATTTTGGGTCCTTGAGTCGGGAGGGCTAGTTCAGTCTGTGAAAAGGAGATGGATCTGATCCCAAAGGGAGAAGAGGCAGCACTTCCCTAGGCAGGGAACATTAATTACAGAGCACTGGATTCCTAATTTGATGTTTCCCTCAGAACTTTGAAGTTCAGACTTTAGACCAGGCCAAGAAGCACCAATCCAACCACTTCAATTGTCCTGCTCTTCTGCAGATTTCCACAAACTCCCAGCTCTGGGAGAGAAATGAGACCCCACAATGCAGCTGAAGACTCTCCACGTGTCCACAGTTAACTCAGGAACAAGAAACAAAGCTGGGAATTCCATGTCCCAGGCAGGAGATGGAAGAAGTTGTCATCCTCTCACCAGGGATTTAATGCACCACATTTGTGACATTCTTTGGTTTTCAGGTTAAAGGGAAGCAAAAGCATAAATCAGCATCTTAACCGCACAGTGAGTCCAAAATAAGGATTGAGTTTTTTTTGTCCTTATGAAAATTTCTGGAGGATCCATGTGAAAATCCAGAAGTTAATTTCTTTAACTTTTAATCACTGACAACTTTTTGGATAGGGAGGAGATGGAGCAAGATCCACATCCCCAAAGATTATGACAATGTTTATGCATGCACAACCCTCCCAGCCCAGCTCCCTCCGCCCCCAGACACCCTCACCTGCGCAGCAGCAGCTTGGGGTGGTTCTTGCTCTCCAGGTTTTTGTCGATGAGGTCGGCCAGGAGCTGCTTGAGGACATCAGTGGCATACTCCAGCTTGCTCTGCAGCACCGTCATGATCAGCGAGGCCACGTTGCCGCGGTCGCGCATGGAGAAGCTGCGCTGCGACTCCAGCGTGCGGATGAAGGACAGCAGGAAAACCTTGTTGTTGATGAGCTGGGCAAAGAGCTTCAGCCCCTTCTCCACCCGCTCCTGACGGTAGCCAGGGACCTGCACCAAAAAAAAAAAAGGGAGTTTGTCCCTTTTCCTCATTTCCCACTGTCACATCTCCCTTTGTCACATGCACTTTGTCACCTCCCTGCTCTCATCCCTCCAGCTCCTCCAGCTGAGGAAAGATGGGGAGAGAATTCATAAATCATCAAATGATTAGGAAGTCTGAGGACTTCCTAATCCCAGGATTTCCTAGTCCCAGCCACATCACAGATAATTTTTTCCAATCCTGTATTTCCATCTGTGAGCAGTACATCCAAAAGGGATTTCTAGTGCCTAATTGTGTCACCTTACCACGCTATATTGTTATTTTAGTCAGACTGAAGTCTTACTCTAATGTCATCCAAAACTTCTTTCTCATCTCTGTGAGGAACGTGCTCACAGAAGTTTGGGGTGTAGCTTGAGGGAGCTGGGAGAAGAAACCAAGAAAATGAATGGGCAAGAGAGGGCAGGGTGAGGTTTTGAGGAGATAAGAGATGCAGGAGGCAGCAGCGGAGATGTGACCATGGAACTGGGGCTTGGTTTGAAGAGAAAGCCAGGTGAAGGTTTGAGGGGACACCCCAAGCTGGGACCTGCCTTGGAGGCCCCACTGCAGTAAAACCCCTAGATTTGGGTGGTTTGGAGACAGAGAGGTTGATAAGTCTCATATTTCTCGGCTGTGGGAGGCTGATGAATTCATTTTGATCTGGAAGAATTCAGGACCATAGTGCTGGAGCCTCTTTGGTCCTTCTGGCTCTAGGCATTCATGGAACCTAAATAGGGAACCTCAAACCCATCCCTCCATGCTGCTGAAGCTGTTCCAGCCCTTGAAAAAGCTTTCCTGGAAGCTGGAAGGTCTCACCACAGAGCAACACATGTCACCAAGGCATACATGAATTAATAACCACCCAAAGTTGGCACTTTAATACAAAAAAAGTTGGCATGCTTAAAAAAACCAAGCTATGCAAGGCCCCATATAGAGTGATTACTTTTTAATTTTGGAAATTAGAGTTCTCAACTCTTTTTGCATCCAGCAAATAAATTACTTCCTAAATAGCTTGAAACAACCAACCAACCAACAAACCACCGCCACCCATCCCGCCAATAATTATTTTTTAACTCACTTGCTTGAACATTTAATATTGTCTATCCCTGGGTTATTATGGAGAATTAGAAGAAAATAACAAGAAAAGTGTTTCGYGCTGCATCTGGAAGCAGTTAATTAGCAAATGAACTGGAAATAAGTAAGACCTTCTCTCTGTGGGATCTGTGCTGGGGCCTTTTGCAATAAATAGCAATTCCTTCTGGGTGCTACAGAGAAGGGAGACAAATGGGAGCTGCCTTCACCTCRGTAGCCGAAGACATTGACACTGAGAGAGCTGGTGGAGCTTTACAAAGGATTAAGGAGAAAAATATAATGAATGGAATGAAAGGGAGAAGAGATCAAAGGTGTTGGATTGAAACATTAGCTCGGTGTCTGTCTGCATAGGGAGCATCCACACCGAGGCCTCTGCAGGGGTCAGATGCTGCTCTGTGATCAGCTGGCCGGGGTTAATGAACGTGGGGATGGMAGCWSGMTGSRGGGAWTTTGGAGATATTCRTGTGTGCACACGTGTGWGAGGGGATTTTTGAGGTGTTTGTGTGTGCACACGTGTGTGAG